GCCTTCATAGTCACCTGGTCTGAATCCAATAAAACACGTTTGGGATGCAGTAGAACGGGAGATTTGCAGCATAAAAACCGCAGTTAAAAAAATCTGCATGATGTAATCTCAAATATCAGAATCTCAAAGGAATGTTTTCAACATCTTGTGGAAGCCATGCCGTGAAGAACCAAGACTGTTTTGAGAGCAAAGGAAGGCCCTACACCAGTATGAGTGTAATGTTCCTAATAAAGTGCTCTGTGTGTATAAGTAGATTATAAGGATCATTCCAAGATATTCTGTAACAGTGTTCTAATCTTTAGCACCTAATTTAAATTTGACACATTTAAAGTAGTTGTAACATAGGAGGTGTTGAGGCAGGATGCAAGTGCGAGTTGCTTTTATTTAAATGAGATTCAAGAGTCCAAAAACACAGTAGCAGAGTGGAACAGCTAAATCCATGACGAGACAAAACAAAGTAAAACCGAACTAAACGAGAAACAGCAACAGGGTATACAGACAACTCAAGACCAAGGGACTGCGCAAACACAGGGGTACAAATGCTCACAGAAAACGAGGAAACACCTGAGAACAATTAGAGGGCGGAGCTAGGAGACCAAGAACAGGTGAAGACAGTGCAGGACAGGGGAGGAGCTAACATGACAACAAAAGCACATGAACACAAGAAAACAAAGGCACATGGCAGACACACAAAACACACGGCACTGGGAAACCAAGAAAAAGGTAAAAACAGAAAGACCAGGACAAAGAGTGAATGGATGTTACAGTAGTGATTTATGTCGGGGTTTGTTTGTTTTTTCCACATAAGAACATTTCTGTTTATTTCAATTATATAAAGTGTGACAGAAGTGTTAATACACAAAGCACCTCAAAGTGCTTTACAATCAAACAGCAAAATTAAGTAATAAAAGCAAAACAAATATGCAAACTAAAGGCTGTAAAGTTTGAACTGAAAAAAAAGCAAACAAATAAAAAAAATCACAAAAAAAAATCCAATACCAAAGATGGTGATATCATTCGAATAAAGAAAAGAATGCTTTGATCCACAGACTTTCATGAAATAAGTATTTGTGCTTATATACAGGCTGCAAACTGTTTGGCACAGAAGAAATGAATTGTGAGAAAAAAGCAGGAAAGCTCTCATAATATACACAGTAAAAAAGTTGAGAATTTCAATCTAAAAAAAGTATTCGATTTCAAAATCATTCCCTTAATCCTATTCGATATCTCCTGCAGTTTCAGTCCATATATAATAGGATTGAGTAGAGGAGGAATGACCGCATTTCAACTGACATTAACAAGGAAACAATATGAGGTACATTTCCGTCTAATCTGCTGTTAATCACTTCAAAACATGCAGTAACAGAGAAACTGATGAAAATGAAAAGGTGTGGGAAGCAGGTCTGTAGAGCTTTTCTTCTGAACTCTTTTGAATTCTTTAAACAGACATCAAGTATTCTAACATATGAGTAGATTATGAAGATCACTGGTGGAAATACTACAATGCCTAAAATAAACAGTCCATATAAATTCATAACAGTTTTTGGATGAGCCAATGACTCTCTGACAGATCTTGTTCCGGGATTTGTAGTTTATATACAAATATTTATATATATATGTGTGTGTGTATATATATATATATATACAAGAAAAAAAGAAATACATATACACACCAACTTTAAATATATACATATACACAATATACACTAGTTATTCCAATATACAGTTCTAGAGTAATAAGTTATGAAATAAAGTACAGTAAAAACACAGTAATAAGTTATGGGTCTTCCTCGGGCAGTGGCTGGTGTATAAATCCAGGAGGTTTGGGAGCTGGACCCTTGTGATGTGCTGGGCTATCCGCACCACTCTCTGCAGAGCTTTCCGCTCGATAGCAGTGCAGTTTCCATACAAGGTGGTGATGGAGCTGTTAGAATGCTCTCCACAGTACATGTGTAAAATGTTCTGAGGATGTGGGGGTTCATGCCAAACCTCCTCAGCCGCCTGAGGTAGAAGAGGCACTGTTGTGCCTTCTTCACCACCCATGTGGTGTGTTCGGTCCATGTCAGCTCCTCTGTGATGTGACTGCTAAGGAACTTGAAGTTTCTGACACTCTCTACAGTGGCTCCGTTGATGGTGATGGGTGTGTGCACTTTCTTTTGCTTCCTGAAGTCCACTATCAGCTCTTTGGTCTTGTTGACATTGAGAGAGAGGTTGTTCTCCTGGCACCAGTGTGTCAGGAAGCTGACCTCCTCTCTGTAGGCCTCCTTGTTGTCACTGGAGAACAAGACAGGGCTGAGCACACAGCCCTGAGGAGCTCTGGTGTTAAGGGTCAGTAAGGAGGAGGTGATGTTGCCCATCCTTGGCACCTGGCGTCGGCCCATCAGGAAATTCAGGATCCATTTGCACAGAGAACTGTTCAGACCCAGATCCCGAAGCTTAATATCGAGGCTTGAGGGTGTTGAATACTGAGCTGTAGTCTACAAACAGCATTCTCACATACGTGATCTTTTTGTCCAGATGGGAGAGGGCAGTGTGAAGGCTATTGCAGTCCTGCTAGAAATAAAGGCGTGGATGAGTTGCCAGGTCTGCTTTAGTCAGAACATCTCTGATCTTGTTGATGTTCTTAAGGTGACAAAAAGCTGATTTAGTAACTGCTTTGACACAACTGATAAAACTGAGTCCATTAGTACATTAAGGTTATGTGCTAGTTCTATATATTTTAGGACTCTTGAATCCAGATAGGCAGCTAGTCTGTGCCTCTCATTGCTATTCCCAAATAAAATAATCTGTTTTATCTTTAGTTAATTGCATAAAGTTTTGTCCCATCCAGTTAATGAGGTAGTTAAGGCACAAGTGAGTCAAGGGGACCATAGTTGTTTCAGGAGAGGACCAAGTAAATCTGAGATATCAACCGCATAACTGTGGTCAGATATCCTATAGTCAACAATCGAACCCTGGGGGGACATCACGTGTCAATGACACTCTTTCAGAAACATTAGTTTGTGTTTTGACAAAGTAGTTTCTTCCTGCAGGTATGAAGTGAACCATTTGAGGACAGTTACCAACCCAGTTCTCAAATCTGTCTATGTTTATGGTCAATGCTATTGCAGCACTGGCATCGAGCAGTAGTAGGAAAGATATTTTTCCAGAGTCTGTCTTCAAATAAATGCCATTAATAACCTTTATTCGACCAGTCTTAGTACTATGATCAGGCTAAAACCTTGACTGAAATTTGTCTAGGCAGCAATTTAAGGACAGAAAGCCATTAAGTTGCTTGAATTTTCTCAATGATTTTTCTAATGGAAGGTAGATTTGAAATAGGTCCTTAATTACGTAAGACGTCACAACTGCAGTTATTCATGTTTTTGGGAAAAAAAATAACATGAGAGAGGTTTTTACTACATGAAGTATATGCGATTACAGAGTGAAACAAATTCTTTAAAAAGTTGGTAATGTGTCAAGTGTAATGGAACAGAACCAGCCAGATGTTTGCAGTAAAAAACAAGAAATGAAGGTTTACCTAAAAGGGCTTGACAATACTCGTAATGAAGAGACAGGCAGTTGTCAAATCTTAAAAGGCAAAAATAGCCAGTTCAGGTGAACTGGAACGTTGATTGGTAGATTGTGGAAATTCATGGGTCATGTGATCTTCCAGAGAGTTCTGGGAAATGGAGTTTTTATGACTTTCAGACCTTTCAGAGGATGTGTGACATCGAAACTACATATAGCTAATTTGAGGTGACTCACTGTATTGATTAAAATTTCATTCTTTTTAACACTAACCTGGGACATTTTAACCACAATATCTTTATGTGGTGATAAGGAAAACAAGAGCTCAGTGGTGGATGTAGTTATACTAGTGGCTTGTCTCATTTTATGGATTTTAATGTTAAAAAAAGCATGCAAAATACTTACATCTCTCAGTTGGTACTAAATCAGGGACCGTATATGTAGGTTACTTTTAGGTTAATTTGTCAACTATTGTGAACAAGTGCACCTGAAAAAATGCAGGAATTGCATGATGTAATCTCAAATATTAGAATCTCAGAGGAATGTTTCCAACAGGTTGTGCAATCCATGTCATAAAAAGGCTGTTTTGAGAGCAAAGTAAGCCCTTACAGCAGTACTAGTGTAATGTTCTTAATAAAGAGGCTTGAATTTGACATATTTAAAGTAATGATATATGGAGGAGTATTTTTGTTTTTCCACATAAGAACATTTCTGTTTATTTCAATTACATAAAGTGTGACAGAAGTATTAACTATTAAAGTACCCCATGTTAAATGATATCATGTTTATTTATCAAAATAGTATAAATGAGTACCAGAAATCTGTATGTGCAAATATATTTTTCATGGAGTGTAATGTCATGTTACTATATATTTTTACATTTTGGATTTGGTCCTCTATGGGCTTAATATTAATTTGTTTCATCAGGCTAAAAATGAAAAGCCACTGTGTGAAGTATATTCCACTTTGCTGTACATTGTCTTGCTCCAAACTGCATTTTGTTGCATAAAATAAAAATGAATGAATTTTCTACTTTATTAAATCATGGTTTTTAGATGTCAAAATAAATGTGACAACAGCACTGAGATTTCACCTTGTTAGTAGAGAGCATTAAACGGTACAAACACACTACTACATTTTTCCTCTCTATATTCAAGGGTTAAAGCTAAAACAATACTGCACAAATTTAAACACTCACTACAGTGTTACTTCAAAAATCAAAACGTCTTTAAGTGCTAAATAATTGATTAATTTACAAAATTATGGCATTTACATTTTTTTTAATTTGACATAATTCTATAGGATCATTCCAATGCTAAGCATGTGCAAACATCATGTTTGAGTGGTTTATCCAATCTATTTTCATTTAAAGAATCATCATGCTATTTATGGAGTGGTTTTATACACAAAGCACCTCAAAGTGCTTTACAATCAAACAGCAAAATTAAGTAATGAAAGCAAGACAAACAAGCAAACTAAAGGCTGTAATGTTTGAACTGAAAAAAAGCAAACAAATAAATAAAAAAAAAAACCATAAAAAATGCCAATACCAAAGATGGTGATATCATTTGAATAAGGAAAAGAATGCTTTGAGTCCCAGACTTTCATGAAATAAGTATTTGTGCTTATATACAGGCTACAAACAAAAGTGTTCACTGTTTGGCACAGTAGAAATGTATAGTGAGAAAAAAGGCAGGGAAGCTCTTATAATATACACAGTAAAAAAGTTCAGAATTTCAATCTAAAAAAAGTATTCAATTTCAAAATCATTCCCTTAATCCTATTCGATATCTCCTGCAGTTTCAGTCCATATATAATAGGATTGAGTAGAGGAGGAATGACCGCATTTTCAACTGACATTAACAAGGAAAAAAAATGAGGTACATTTCCGTCTAATCTGCTGTTAATCACTTCAAAACATGCAGTAACAGAGAAACTGATGAAAATGAAAAGGTGTGGGAAGCAGGTCTGTAGAGCTTTTCTTCTGAACTCTTTTGAGTTCTTTAAACAGACATCAAGAATTCTAACATATGAGTAGATTATAAAGGTCACTGGTGGAAAAACACCAATGCTTAATAGAAACAATCCATATGAATTTATAACAGTTATGTCTCCACAACTTAATTTAGCAATTGTGTAATTACTACAGTATATTCTATTTAATTTAAATTTACACAGCTGTCGGTATGTTAGTATTATTGATATGCCCATTTCACAGGAAGGCACAAACCAACAGAAAAATAAGGCCTTTTTAACAGTGGACATTTTTACAAGAGTTGCGTACTGTAATGGTTTACATATGGACACATATCTGTCATAGGCCATAGCTGATAACAGTGCAAACTCTGAAACTCCATATGTATAAATGCAAAAGGCCTGAATCATACAAGCTTCACGAGAGATAACTGGTGTTTCAGATAGAAAATCACTCAGTAATTTAGGATAAAAGGCAGCTGTTCCAAAGAGAGCATTGCAAAGTAAAGCAGCGATAAATATGTACATCGGCTCATGGAGACGTTTGCTTGTGTAAATGACAGAAATGACAACAGCATTGCAAAAAATGATCAGTATGTAAACAATCAGAGTAATTAGAAAGTAAACATATCTATATTTCTCCAACTCCACATGCCCTTCCAAAGATAAATATGTAATATTAGTAAAGTAATCCATGAATGTCCATGAAGAAATCCATAAATTTCTAGAAACAGACTAGTCAGTGTAATCTGGTTGTGCTTACATCAGTGTTTTTATGTTTTCACTCAGGCATCATAAATTCCATGCATATGAGTGAAGATACTTAGTACAGTGAAGGTAGAGTAGCTGTACAGGCTGTGGCGAAGACAACAGCTTTGTGTGTCTATATTTATATATTCTCTACTGGACAGATAAATATTCCTTAGTGGTCCACTGACTAATCTACTGACTAGTAACAGTTGCATGACCTACACGTCTTCACAGAAGTACAAACCCCATTTCTGGAGAAGTTGGGGCATTTTCTAAAATGCAATAAAAAACAAGAATCGGTGATTTGTAAATTCTCTTGTACAAAGAAATTTTGGTTGACCAACTTGATTGTATTTTGTAAATGTAAATGAATTTTGAATTTGGTGTCTGAAATACAGCCAAAAACAGGGGCAAAATGAGGGTGACAATTTTATAGAATATTCAAGTCATATAATTTTGAAACATTCCACAATAAGCAGATGAATTGGTAACAGGTGTGGGTGTCATGATTGAGTATAAAAGCAGCATCCATCAAAGGCTCAGTCTTTGCAAGCAAAGATGAGTCATTGTTCACCACTTTGTACCAAACCTCATGAGACAATTATCAAACGGTTCAAAAAGTTGAAAGTGCATGACCTTCGAGCGCTTAGAGAACATTGCATGAGAAACTGTTATGCGACTGTATTAAATGCAATGGGCTCGGGAGTACTTCAGAAAGCTGTTGTTACTTGGACACACAGTCCATCGATGCATCAATAAATTCAACTCGAAACTCTATTATCCAAAAAGAAAGCCATACATTAATTCTGTGCAGATGCACTGCCGAGTTCTCTGGCCCCAAGCTCATCTCCGATGGTCTAAAAGAGTGGAAATATGTGCTGTGGTCAGAGATTAAGCTCTCATCATGAATCCAAGAGGACAGAAATTAAATGAAAACATGGCCACCTTACCTTTATTTTACTTAATGATTAACAATAGAATGAACCACCATACAATTATTGCATTGTATACACTGTAGACAAAGACTAACAATTTCTAAAAAGGTATTTGAGGTGACACTTGTTTTCAAGATCTATCCAAGCAAAATTCACATAATTTTTCAGGCATTAGGTAAATCTTTGATCAAAAAATATTTAATCTATAAAGATATAAATGCTAATAGAATTTTTATGTCATATAATGGCATATGTGAGTAGCCCAGAGTCTCCTGAAAATAACAACATATGGCATGTGTGACTGTATCATGTAAATATTTTTAATTGTAATTGACCAAAATACCAAAATAGCAAAACTATCCTAGGTTTTAATAGTTAATCTTAGTCACATCACCTCATGAATCAGATGAGTTATTGGGTCATTCTCTCTTGCACTAGTCCTCAGCTCTTCTCCTGCCCCTCTATCTGCAACAGTTGCCTTCAGGAGGATCTTTTTTAAAGTGACTGATCTTTTTAGCATGACCCATTCTACTGCCAGTGTTTGTGTACAGAGACTGCAGGGCTGTGTGCTTCATGGCATGCACCAGTTAGCAATGGGTGTAGCTAGAAAAACCAAACCTACAAATTAGAAGACGTGACCTGTCATTAATTTGTCCCCTGCAGGCATTTAGAAAGCTCTGCCTGCCTTTTAACACCTGCAGCTTGCTCTCCTATTTTGTATTTCCAAGCCATTTCACTGCTGTATCGTACCATACTTTATGTGTATGCTTAGCTTGTGCTGCATTTTCGTATTAGCACATGCTATCTGTGCAGGTTTACACTGTAGTTTTAGCTTTGATTACACTGTAGTTTTAGCGCCGCCCCCTGGACAGCATGTGGAGTTTGTGGTGAGTATTCCCACAAAGGGGTTGGTTTCCAAATCTGTGATCTTACCAGTTCTGATATACTTTCATCCAGATTCTCTTTTTGTTTTTTTGCTGATTGACTTGGGGGCTGAAGGAAACTTCCTCCACGCTAGGATCGTGGAACAGCTACAGATTCCTGTTGAGAACCTTCAAACAGCTCTCAAAGTCATCGCTTTAGATGGCGACCCAGTGGGACTGAGACCCATTGACCAAGTAACAGTGCCCTTGGAGACCAAGACCAGAGCCCTACACTCCGAAAAACTTTCATTTTTGGTACTTTAACAGTCAGACTTTGATATGATATTAAAGCTCCCATGGTTAGAGAAACACGACCCTACTATTTCTTGGACGGAACGTACTGTTACTCACTGGTCCAAATATTGTCTTCAAAATTGCATTCACACCCCTGCCATGTCCCTTGGGTCCACCACCATTGAGAGTCCAAACGCTGATTCCCCCTTTGAAATACCTCATGAATACATAGACGTAAAGGAGGTTTTTAACAAACAAAACATGACAAAGTTGCCTCCAGATAGGCCCTATGTGCCATTGAGCTCGTAGAGGACCCAGTACTACCTAAAACAAGAGTATATCCCTTGACACAAGAAGAACAAAAAGCCCTTGATGTGTATATTGAAGAGGCTTTAGAACAAGGGTTAATCAGACCCTCCACTTCTCCTATCGCCTCAAGCTTTTTCTTTATTAAGAAGAAGGACGGGGGGTTACGTCCATGCATAGACTACAGAACCCTTAACTAGATTTCTAAGGCTTATCCTTACCCCCTGCCTCTTGTAACAGTAGCACTAGAGCATCTCCAGGGAGCCAAGTTTTTAACAAAATTAGATCTCCATAGCACCTACAATTTAATTAGAATTAAGGAAGGGGATGAATGGAAGACTGTGTTTTTGACCACCAGGGGGCACTATGAGTATCTGGTGATGCTGTTGGGCTCTCTATCGCCCGCTCTGTTTTCAAGGCTTCATAAACGACATCCTCAGAGACATGCTAGGACACTTTGTGATTGCCTACCTGGACAACATTTTAGTTTACTCCCCTTCCTTTGAAACACATGTACAGCATGTCCAAATGGTATTAGAATGACTATTAGAGAATAATCTGTTCCTGAAAGGGGAAAAGTATGAATTCCACCTCCAGTCTGTCTCATTTTTAGGATACATCATCAGTCAACAAGGAATTGTAATGGATGTCCACAAGGTGGAAGCAGTGGTCGAATGGTCACAACCCACATTGGTTAAGGAGCTCCAGAGGTTTATAGGCTTTGCTAACTTTTATTGTAGATTCATCAGAAACTTCAGCTCCATAGCGTCTCCGCTGACTTCACTGTTAAAAGGAAATCCGAAGAAGTTCACGTGGAACGAACAAGCAGAGAAGACCTTTCAGTCTCTCAAGGAGGCGTTTACCACCGCACCCATTCTTAGTCACCCCGATCCCACACAACCTTTTGTATTGGAGGTGGACTCATCTGAGATGGGGGTGGGTGCAGTTTTGTCCCAGAGGACGGGATCTCCAGCCAAGTTGCATCCCGTAGCATTTTTCTCTCACAAATTGACACCCACGGAGAGAAACTATGGTATAGGGGATCGGGAATTATTGGCTGTAATGCTAGCTCTAGAGGAATGGCGTCATTGGTTGGAAGGTGCCAACCATCCTTTCATTGTTTTGACAGATCACAAAAATTTGGAATACCTTCGCACGGTGAAGAGACTTAATGCACGACAGGCTAGATGGCCGCTTTTTTTTTCCTGTTTTAAGTTCAGCATTACTTATCGACCAGGCTCTCCTAGCACTAAAGCTGACGCTCTATCCAGGAAATATCAACAAAACACGAACCTTTTGCAGAACGAGGCCACAGAAAGGATCCTTCCTCCCGAGCTAAACATTTCCTCTATTAGATGGCAAACAGATGAGGCAATAGAGAAGGCCTTATCCCACACATGAGTACCTGAGCACTGTTCTCCAGAGAATCTGTATGTTCCCCAGCCATTTAGAACTTCACTCATAACTTCGGCTCACTCGTCTTTAACCTCTGGCCATCCAGCAGAAACCCGTACCCACCAACTATTAGCTAACATGTACTGGTGGGAACCCATGCATCATGACATCCATTCATTCATCTCTTCCAGTTCAACCTGTACCCAGCGCAAAACACCCAAACTGTTACCTGCAGGGAAATTGCTGCCACTATCCATACCTAATCGACCATGGTCCCACATTGCAGTAAATTTCGTCACTGACCTACCAGAATCGCAAGGATTTACTACAATACTTACAATAATTGATAGATTTTCCAGAGGGATCTGTTTTGTACCTTTTTCTAATCTGCCCAGTGCTTTTCAGATTGCAAACTGTTCCAGTTTGTATTCCGGATCTACGGAATTCCAGAGGACATTGTGTCAGACAGGGGACCTCAGTTCACCTCACAGGTATGGGCAGCATTTTTCGAGCATCTGGGAGTGTCATTGAGCTTGTCATCGGGGTATCACCCACAGTCCAATGGACAATGCAAAAGGGCGAATCAGGAAAATTCTTGCAATTATTTTGTCATGACAATCCTGCTGATTGGTCCAGATTTCTGAGTTGGGCAGAAATCACACAAAATTCATTGGCTTGCTCTTCTACAGGGCTGACACCTTTTCAGTGTAATCTAGGGTACCAGCACCCACTTGCACCTTGGACGGGAGTCCAAACAGATGTTCCTGCAGTGGACGATTGGATGAAACGCAGCGAACAGGTGTGGGAACAGACACATCAACACATCATAGAGATGCTGCAACATCAGAAAGAACAGGCAGACAGACACAGAGGTCCGACTCCTACATTCCATCCCGGAGACCGAGTGTGGCTGTCTACAAGAGACTTTCAACGTCCAGAGGGGAGTTGCCGTAAGCTTTTGCCTAAATATATAGGGCCGTTCAAGAACAATGCTGGGTGCCAGCCAAAGATGTGTAGACCCCGGTCTCATCCGAGACTTTCACAGTCGGCACCCTGACAGGCCTGCTCCTCGTCCCAGAGGATGTCCACGCAAAAGGCTCACCTGTTCTTTGCCCGTCCATCTGAGGAACAACAGTGAGGATGCTACGATCCAGCGTCTCGAAAGCTCAGGTTCAGCCCCTGTTCAGCGACCCGGACCCTGGACTCTTTTGGGGGGGGTACTGTCACACATTTGGCTCCCTCTGTGGAGGAAACAGACTTTGTCTCCCAGAATTCTCTGGGAGATCATGTGACTGAGCAGCCGCACTCGGAATCCGACTCCGACGAGAACTCCATTCCCCAGGATACCATGGAATCTCATGACTTCGGACTCTCACAGGCACTCCTATCAGCGCTCACAATCCCCTGAGTTTTGACTGTTTTCATCTGTGTAGATGATCATATGACAGGTAGTTTAGAGTAGATAAGCCCGGGCTTCAGTTAGACTCACTGCGAGGTATTGTTTCTCTGAGACTACTGAGCGTTTTCTTCCTGTTCTGATTGCTTACTGTGTTTTTGATCTTCTGCTTTGTTTGATTCCGTTTTTGCCTCTTGCCTATTCCTTTGGTACTTTCACTGGTGTGTATGATCTGTGTTTTTGACTTTGTGACTGTTTTTCACTACGAGCTCTGTTTTTCCCTTTTTGACTACGGCCGCTTCGTATGAATTAAACCTCAACATCTGTACACGTCTGGTGTTCTGTCCGAGCATTACAGAGTGTAATGCCATGTTACTATATATTTTTACATTTTGGATTTGGTTTTCTAAGGGCTTAATATTAATTTGTTTCATCAGGCTAAAAATAAAAGGTCACTGTGAAGTATATTCCTATCAGTCTTGCTATACATAAACTCAAAATTGCACTTTGTGATACAAAATAAAAATGAATTAAATTTCTGCATTATTAAATCATGGTTTTTAGATGTCAAAATAAATGTGACAACAGCACTGAGATTTACCCTTGTTAGTAGAGAGCATTAAACGGTACAAAAACACTACTACATTTTTCCTCTCTATATTTAAGAGTTAAAGCTGAAACAATACTGCACAATGTTAAACACTCACTACAGTGTTGCTTTATTTATGATCAAAACTTCTTTAAGTGCTAAAACAATTAGACCAAAATTATGGCATTTACATTTTTTTAATTTGACATAATTCTATAAGATCATTACAGTGCTATGAATGTGCAAACATTATGTTTGAGTGTTTTATCCAATCTATTTTCATTTAAAGAATCATCATGTTATTTATGGAGCAGTTTTATACACTGCTGCTCAAAGTGCTTTACAATCAAACAGCAAAATTAAGTGACAAAAGAAAACGAATAAAACAAAAAATAAAAGAAAAAAACAAATAAGCAAATTAAAGGCCATAATGTTTCAACTGACAATAAATAAATAAATGAATAAATAACTAAATAAATAAAATTCACATAAAAAATGCCAATACAAAGATGGTGATATCATTTGAATAAGAAAAAGAATGCTTTGAGTCCCAGACTTTCATGAAATAAGTATTTGTGCTTATATACAGGCTACAAACAAGACTGTTCACTGTTTGGCACAGTAGAAATGTATAGTGAGAAAAAAGGCAGGAAAGCTCTTATAATATACACAGTAAAAAAGTTCAGAATTTCAATCTAAAAAAAGTCTTTGATTTCAAAATCATTTTCTTAATCCTATTCGATATCTCCTGCAGTTTCAGTCCATATATAATAGGATTGAATAAAGGAGGAAAGACAGCATTTTCAACTGACATTAACAAGGAAACAATATGAGGTACATTTCCGTCTAATCTGCTGTTAATCACTTCAAAACAAGCAGTAACAGAGAAACTGATGAAAATGAAAAGGTGTGGGAAGCAGGTCTGTAGAGCTTTTCTTCTGAACTCTTTTGAGTTCTTTAAACAGACATCAAGTATTCTAATATATGAGTAGATTATAAAGGTCACTGGTGGAAAAACGTTAATGCTTAATAGAAACAATCCATATGAATTCATAACAGTTAAATCTCCACAACTTAATTTAGCAATTGAGTAATTACTACAGTATATTCTGGTTAATTTAAATTTACACAGCTGTCGGTATGTTAGTATTATTGATATGCCAACTTCACAGGAAGGCACAAACCAACAGACAAATAAGACCTTTTTAACAGTGGACATTTTTACAAGAGTTGCGTATTGTAATGGTTTACATATGGACACATATCTGTCATAGGCCATAGCTGATAACAGTGTAAACTCTGAAACTCCATATGTATAAATGCAAAAGGCCTGAATCATACAAGCTTCACGAGAGATAACTGGTTTTTCAGATAGAAAATCACTTAGTAATTTAGGATAAAAGGCAGCTGTTCCAAAGAGGGAATTACAAAGTAAAGCAGCAATTAAAACATACATCGGCTCATGGAGCCGTTTGCTTGTGTAAATGACAGTAATGACAACAGCATTGCAAAAAATGATCAGTATGTAAACAATCAGAGTAATTAGAAAGTAAACATATCTATATTTCTCCAACTCCACATGTCCTTCCAAAGATAAATATGTAACATTAGAAAAATCCATTAATGTCCATGAAATAATCCATACATGTCTAAAAACATATTAGTCCATGCAATATAATTGTGCTCACACCAGTGTTTTTATATATTCAGTCAGGCATCAGAAACTCCATGCATATGAGTGAAGATACTAAGTACAGAGATGGTACTGTAGCTGTACAGTCTGTGATGAAGACAACAGCTTTGTGTGTCTATATTTATATATTCTCTACTGGACAGATACATATTCCTTAGTGGTTCGCTGACTAATTTGCAGACTAGTAACAGTTGCATGACCTACATGTCTTCACAGAATTACAAACCCTATTTCTGAAGAAGCTGGGACATTTTGTAAAATGCAAAAAAAAAAAAAACACGTATTTGTGATTTGAATTACTTTTAACATTTTGGCTGACCAATATTCAAGTTACACCATTTTAAAACATTCCATAAGCAGATGAACTGATAACAGGTGTGGGTGTCATGGTTAAGTATAAAGGCAGCATCCACCAAAGGCTTAGTCTTTGCAAACAAATATGGATCATTTTTCATCACTTTGTACCAAACCTCATAGGACAATTATCAAATGGTTCAAAAAGAACATTTCTCAATGCAATATTGCAAAGAATTTAGGTCTTTCATCATCTACTATCCACAATATTGTGAAAAGATTCAGGGAATCCAGAGAAATCTCAGTTTGTGTAGGGCAAGGTCAGAAACCACTATTGAAAGTGCATGACCTTCAGAGAGCACTGCATGAGAAACCTTCATGCTACTTTGTTAGATACAGCCACACAGGCTCAGGAATATTTCGTAAAACTGTTGTCACTTAGCACAGTCCATCAATGCATCAGTAAATACGTCTCAAAACTCTATGATGCAAGGAGAAAGCCATGCATCAATTCTATGCAGAAGTGCCACCGAGTTCTCTGGGCCCAAGCTCATCTCAGATGGTCTGAAAAATAATGGAAGTGTGTGCTGTGGTCAGATGAGTCCACACTTCAGCTTATTTTTTGGGAATAATGGACATTGAGTTCTCCATGCCAGAGACAAAACAGACTTATCAGCAAAAGGTGAAACAGCCAACATCTGTCACAGTGCCAAAGGCATGGGTGACCTGTACCATTGATGAGGAGGTGTTTATTGGGATTTTAGAGAGACATATGCTGTCATTAAGACTATGTCTTTTCCTGAGAACTCCATGGTTATTTCAGTTATGGTCATCCATGGTTATTTCAGTTAAAAAACAAATATATACACACTGACTCTGAATATACACACATACACAATATACACTAGTATTGCACTATTCCAGTTTACAGTTGTACAGTAATAATTTATGAAATAAAACTATGAAATGTACTGTTGTACACATTCTGTATGTGTAGTTAGTCTGAGATAGATAAATAATTAAGATGCAGGTACACAGAGGATAGAATATTGATGTAGAAATCTTCTACATTATCAGAATTAAGCTTTATTGGCCAAGTATGCTTACGCATACAAGGAATTTGGTTTTGGTTACAGGAGCTCACAGTGCACAGTACCAGACAGACATTTACATGTAGTGAATAAAATAAAATATAAAATATAACAAAATAAAATTAAATAACATACATTCCTACCATCACTCACTCAAACACAAACACACAGTCATACCTGTAAACCTTACATTGTGCAAAGTATGGGTCTAAAGTTAAAGTGCTGAGTGCAGCAGCAGTTAAAAGGGTGTATAGTGGCAGAGAAAAGGATCAGTGAGGTAACAGTCTGATAAGTGAGGTAATAAGGCAGGTAAGTAAGATGCTAGAATAAACACTGGTTTGAGGCGGCAGTTCCAAAGGATGGAGATGAATTAGATATTATATACCAGTATTTATGAAGTGCAGTTTAGAAGCTGGAATATTGTTTTTCTGTAATATTTTAACTGTTCAAGAGAGAGATGGCTTGTGGGAAGAAGTTCTTTTGTAGCCTGGATGTCCTGATTCTCATGTGGCTGAAGCGCCGGCCTGAGGGAAGGAGCTGGAACAGGTGGAACAACTGGTTCTAGAGGCATGCAGTTCCAGCAGTGTGGGCAACTTAACCCCAATTGTCCTCTCTGCAGACCTGGTGATGCGCTGCAGTCTGTGGAGGTCATGCTTGGTGGCTGAGCTGCCCCACACTGTGATGGACGTAGTGATGACAGACTCTATGATGGCTGTGTAGAACCGCACCATCAGCTCTCGGAGCAGGTTGAACTTCCTCAGCTGATGCAGGAAGTATATCCTCTGCTAGGCTCTCTTGATGATGGAGCCAATGTTGCTGTCCCACTTCAGGTACCTGGTGTTTGTTGTGCCCAGGAACTTGCAGGACTCCACTGCCATCACTGTTCTGTCCAGGATGGTGAGTGCTGACAGGGCTGGAGGGCTCCTCCTGAAGTCCACTGTCATCTCCACTGTTTTCGCCATGTTCAGCACCAGGTTATTGTGGCTAGACCAAAGGACCACCTGATCAACCACCCATCTGTAAGCAGACTTGTCACCATCTCAGAGACCAATGACTGTAGTGTCATCTGCATATTTCAGGATTTTGACTGAGGGGTCCGTGGAGGTACAGTCGTTCGTGTACAGTGAGAAGAGCAATGGGGAGAGTACACAACACTGTGGAGCACCTGTACTGATGATATGGGTGTTTGAGGTTAACTTTCCTAACCTCACCTGCTGCTCTCTGCCAGTGAGGAAGTTGGTGATCCACTGGCAGGTGGGGGTTGGCACGCTGAGTTGGAATAGTTTGTTGTGTAGCTGTCCTGGGATGATCGTATTAAATGCTGAGCTGAAGTCCAAGAACAGAATTCTTGTATAGGTTCCTGGGTGTTGAAGCTGATGGAGAATAAGATGGAGTCCCATGTTCACTGCATCGTCCACCGACCTGTTTGCTCGGTATGCAAACTGCAGGGGATCTAGCAGAGGATCTGTGATGTTCTTCAGATGTGAGAGCACCAGTCTCTCAAAGGATTTCATGACTACAGAGGTCAAAGCAACGGGTCTATAGTCATTCAATCCTGTGATGGTTGCTTTATTGGGAACTGGTATTATGGTGGAGCGTTTGAAGCAGGAAGGTACGACACACAGCTCCAGTGATTTGTTAAAGAGTGCTGTAAACACTGGCGCAAGCTGGTTGACACAGACCCTCAGACAGGAGGGTGATACACCATCTGGTCCTGGTGCTTTCCTTACTTTTTGTCTCCTGAAGAGTCAGTGCACGTCCTTGTCACAGATCTTCAGGGCAGGCTGAATAGATGGCTGAATGACAGGAGGGCGTGAATCTGTGCTGAATGGGTGTGTGGAGCTGGGCTTTTCAAACTTGCAGTAAAAGGTGTTAAGCTCATCAACCAGCTGACGATCACCCACTTTTGTAGCTGGTGATGTACTGCAGGCACTTCCAGACGGTTGATGGCTGATTTGTGGACATCATACTACTCAGCTTGTTTGAGTAGCTCCTCTTTGCAGCTCCGATTTCTTTGTTGAGTGTGTTCCTAGCCTGATTGTACAGAGCCCGATCTCCACTCCTATGCGCTGCTTCTTTAGACCGGCACAACTGTTTCAGTCTGGCATTAAACCAGGGCTTGTCGTTGTTATATTTAATGCGAACACAGGTGTCTACTCAAAAGCTGACATAGGATGTCACTGTATCTGTATATTCATCCAGGCTACTTGATGCATCCTCAAACACACTCCAATCTGTTAATTCCAGGCAGTCCTGAAGCCTTTCTTTAGCCTCGGTGGTCCACTTCTTCGCAGAGCTGACTACAGGTTTGACACATTTGAGCTTCTGCCTATAGGTTGGAAGGAGGTGGATTAGTGAGTGATTGGAGGGGCTCAGAGCAGCATGGGGAACAGAGCGATAGGCCCCCTTTAACACAGTGTAGCAGTGATCTAAAATATTACTCTCACTGGTGGGACAGGTAACATGCTGTCTGTATTTAGGCAGTTCAATGGTGAGTTGCGCTCTGTTGAAATCCCCTAAAATGGTAAAAACAGAGTCTGTGTGTTTGAGCTCTGTGCTGGTGATCTGGCCTGTGAGAGCGTGCAGCGCCTCGTGCACGCCTGGGGTGGAATATAGATTCCTGCAAGTATAATAGACGAAAACTCCCTCGGACAATAAAATGATTTGCAGCTGTGAGAACAGACAGTGGCTTGGGTGGGTGGAGTCCTTTAGAATCCTCCTGGTCTTCTTCAGGCAGCTGCTGGTGTATATATCCAGGATGTTTGGGAGCTGGACCCCGGTGATGTGCTGGGCTGTCTGCACCACCCTCTGTAGAGCTTTCCACTCAATGGCAATCTCCGCTGATAGCCAGGTCTCTGTGAGGCAGATTATACAGCAGTCCCATGTTTCTCCCTGGAAAGGGATCCGTGCCCTGAGTTCGCTGATTTTGTTGTCCAGGGACTGCACATTTGCCAGTAGTATGCTGAGGAGTGGGGGGTGATTAGAATGCCATCTCAGCCTGACCAGAATGCCAGCTCTCCTGCCCCTTTCCGACGTCTGTGGCATTTCCTCAGCCGGTCGGCCCAGATGAATGGGGTCTCTTTGAGGTTCCCAAACAATGGATCTGCGTTCAGGAACTCAGAGTCCTGTTTTCAGTGAGTGATCGTTATTTACAAAATGTAATAAAGTTGGTCAGTGAAAACATTAGAAATATTTTCTTTATACTTTTAAATACTTTAAATAAAGGTTCAAGGGAATTAACAAATTACAGATTCCAGCTTTTATGGCATTTTACAAACTGTCTCAAGTTTTCTGGAAACAGGTTTTGTAAATGACTTCATTTTGAAGATGTTCATAGTTTTCTAACAGTTCATAAAAAGTTATGCAGTAATGTTATGAGTTCATTCCTTCTTTTTGGTCTTTGCCAAAGTTCACAAACATTCTGCAAAGCCAAAGTCAAAGTTTATATTTATATAGTGCTTTTTACAATAGGCATTGTCACAAAACAGCTTTACAGAAAAAATTGGGTCCTTGTCCCCATGAGCAAGCCAATGCCAACAGAGG